GGACCGGGGCGCGGGGCGGGGCCGGAGCCTCGCGGGCGCGCGGCTGGGGAGGGGACCGACACCTCGGTACCTTCTCCAGAAGCAGCCGTATGAGGTGCTCGTGCGAGTGGCGGGCCTCACAGCCCTGCCGCACGTAAGCCGGAGACACCAGCCGCTCGCCCGCGGCGAAGCTCTCGCGGTTCATGACGCCCTTGGCGTCGGAGACGGGTAGACTGAAGTACAGTTCCCCACACACCGGCCACCGACGGAACCAGAATGCAACTCGCCGCCTGGACGGTACGGCAGGACCTTGGGACAAAAACAGATAACCACCAGCAACGCCCCCTCTTGCGCATGCGCAAACCTGTAGCCGGGACACCAGGAATTTGGAGTCTTTGAGCATGCGCAAGGGCGTCCTCACATTTAGCCGGCTTCTGGCGGAGTTGGGAGGAGTCAGGGTTAAAATTCGGACTGCGAGCATCTGATTGGTCTAGTTAAACCCTAGTGTTTCTGAGACCAAGACTAGAACTTTAGAAAGGACTTCGCACTTGGGTAAACTGCTGAGCATACAGAAGTGCAATTGCATGGGCATCATAAGAAAAAAAAAATGCGTTCCTTTGTGTTCCAACCTTGTTGATTGATTAAGATCTGCGCAGAATCAACCTTATGCACACTGTCAGGTTCCAAGACATTCACAACTTCCTGACAATCCCATATGAATGGCAATGCTTCACTCCTGTTCTTTGGCACTACAGAACTTTTAGCCATAACGTTTGTTCCCCATCACTGGACACACAGACATGTGTCTACATAGCCCCCCAATAAATGTAAGAGCCTTGACTTTTGCTGCAGTGCTCCTTCTCCCCCTAGTACCTAAAACAATGCCCAGAATATAGAAGGGGGAAAAAAATCAATGAACTACTTTGGCTCTTGAATAACCTACAAGTGCTGAAGACATAAATAAAAAGGATCCCTGCCTTCCGTTTCCTCCTCATCTTCATCTTAGGTAAGCCTATAGTAATCCCTGGCATTGTCCTCACTCAGTAGTGTACTAGAGCCCATTTACACTGTTTCACACTTGATTGTGAAAGCTGCTTGTTAAATGTTCAGTATTTTTGTGAGCTAGTCTTTAAATAGATACTCCTAAAATTAAATTATATGAGCTTACACAGAATGACATTAGAAGCAAAATACTCAAAATTCACCACTTTCTAGTTATGTTACTATATTTATTATCTATGCTTCTCAGATTACTTTCATCCATTGTATCTGTGTGATGGAAACACAATAATAATGGTGCACTTTTGCATATCTTTTTCAACTCCCATTCAAAAGTTGGTGCCTTAAAATTAGACACGGTGAGAGCATTTACTCCACAGAAATCAGCAAGAACTACTGACCACAAGTACACAACAAAGGGATTATTTCATAGAGTTCCAGAGGACACTCCATTCATAAGCAAGTTGTGTCCTGGTTTGAATGGACTGACCAGGTGGTAACTGTAGGCAGGTGGGGCAAGACTGAAGGAGGTGGTGACTGGCCTATGCTCAGGAAGGGTTCACCTTACCTGCTGGCCCTGCCCCTCTCCTGTCTCTCTCTGCTTCTTGACCTTCCCATAAGTTGAGCACCTTTCTTGCACTGGGTCTTTCTACCTTGACAGTCTCTAGTCCCTGATTTTGAAAAGAAAGAATAGGGAAATCTGATTGTTCTGCATGAAATTACATTTCTTCGTGGAAATACTCATTGTAGTGTAAACCAATTGGTTACTATCGCAAATCAGCATTAGTTGTGAAACTTTAAAAAAGACAGTAAGGTTATTTTGAAGTTATGTGTTACCTGTCAACAGCATATCCCTGGAAAATCTGTAAAAGGGAGGTAAGGCCTGGAACAAGACTCAAGAGTTTGTTTGTTTTAACCACTATCAAACCAATTTTTAAAATGTATTTTATTTACTGTGTATCTATTTTCAGGGTGGCCTATGGCACTTCCTTGCCAAAAAGCTACATCCCTTACAGTTTCTAAAAGCTACTTGATTTTATGTTTCCAACCTGAGGCAAAACAACTTTTATATCAAGTGACCGAGGCACACATTTTATGTGAACACTGTTAAGTCATTACCCTTTTCTCAATTGTGAAATTATTTATAAAGAATCTATAATCTTCTTCCAAAAGTACACCATCCTGACGACCCAAAATCTTCTGGAGAGGTTGAAAGAATCAATGGCATATTTACATTTAGATTAACAAAACCTTGTGAACCATTTGAGTCTCCTTGATCGAACATATTCCCATTCCAATAACCTTTACGGCCCAGACATTTAGAGATTCCACCTCTGATGGCAGACTCAGTCCTACTGCACATAGACATGTCACAATATTGCAACAGATTCATGTACTATACTCGGTCCTAACACCAAGTTCACTATGCTGTTAGTCCCACATCCTCCTAAACAGCCTCTTCATGATCTCCAACAGGGAAATGTTATCTATTGGAAGAGATATCCAAGAGGAACTATTCTTGAACTTCATTGCTAGGAGCCTTATCTGTACAACTAACAATGAATACAACAGTGAAATCCTGAGGAGCCAATCTCTGGGCTCACATTTCAGAACTAAAAAAAAAAAAATTTGAATTCTGTACAACTGAAAAGCAAATTCAACAAGGTGCTTCAAACTGAGGATTCTCAGATACCTTCCAGAAACAGCCAGTCTTCTGAAGCTGTCAGCCAACCCAAGACCTTCAGAACAAGCCAATGACCTCAAATAGGACAGTTTTCTCCCAAGGCTTTAGGCTAAGATCCCTGCCTAACTCTCGTTGTTGTTTAATCTGCTTGCTTATTTTATATGGACCTCTAGCTTTTGTCTTTCCATAATGACCTCTTTCCCTTTTATTCCAGATAATTATTAGTCTGGAACATACTCATTCTAATGACATTCTTGGGTTCTCCCCAACAATAGCCACTTCCCTCAGTCTTACTGACTGCTGAATGTATCATCCATCACCATATCCCCATGATAAAAATCTCTGAACAATTCCAATCTCATTAAACAAGACCTTAGGGAATCACAACCGATGATGTATCCGCTTGCAATTACATGGACAAATGATCTTAAGCGAATCAACCTGTAACTTTGCTAGTGTCCCTCTCTCCTTGAAAAGGAACCAATTATTAGAGTATTGATCAGACCCTGTGTATTTCTAAATTTAAATTCAACAACCCTAATAGGATGATGATCCAAATACTTGCCTCCTAAATGAGGCTAATTGCAATCCAAATATGTATCCCAGCTAATGTAAAGCTTGGGTTTTCACCTCATGTCATGAGTAACTCTTTTTTCCTATATCTCCAGGTGTCCCTGCTGAATACGACTTCCTTCGGCCCAGGACATCTAATCCTGTTTGCCTCAGACTAATGCCTCACATACTTTAGAAATCCCCACTGTACATGAACTCCAAAACCAGGCCAGTCATAATTATTCCAGCACTCTCCCTGGGGGAATTACTGATTCATTGTTCATGCTGGTGAGAGTGATGCAGATAGCAAAGACTGCAAGAGACATCATTAGCTCAAGCAGAAGTTGCAACGAAGCCGCCCTGCACTTAGTGGAATACAAATCAGTTGCACTTCCTCTGCATGAGCAGAGATGGACAATCACATTGCTTTAAATTTCTTCTTGGCCAGTCACAGGGGCATCTGTGCCATTGCTAAAATGCCTTGCTCTACGTGGATCAATTAGAAAGGCCAGGTAGAAAAGGCATTAATGGAGACTTTAAGGGAAAGCTGTTCGGCAAAAGCCTCCTGAAGAAACTGTTACTTGATCTTGTTTTGTCGTAATTTTAATGATGCTGGTCATTTGCATTCCATCCAGTGCCTTAAATTCTGATTGAACTTGGGGCTTGTGCATGCCAGGCGAGTGCTCCTGCACTGAGTTACACCCCCAGCCCTTGGAATTCTTCTTTTTAAAAAATATATTTTTTTTAGTTGTACTTGAACACAATACCTTTATTTTATTTATTTATTTTTATGTGTGCTGAGGCTTGAACCCAGAGCCTTGCATGTGCTAGGCGAGCTCTCTACCACTGAGCCACAACCCCAGCCCAGCAGCCCTTGGAGTTCTGACCATAGATTCTCTCATCAGATTATCACAGTGATGATAAAATAACATATATGTCCAAAAGATGTCACAGTAAAATGGACTATGGAGACAATTGAACAGTCCCCAACAGGTAAGGATCTGGATCCCTAGCCTTCTCTAAATTGGTCAACCTCTTTCAAGAAAGAGAATGACAGAAAGAAAGAAAGAAAAAAGGACTGAAAGACTGAATATATAAGCCCAGAAATTAGAAAAGTGAAAAATGGCTTAGTCCCTTATGAGCTGCTATAACAATATATCACAAAATGGCTTAAAACAAGAGCAACTCATTGCTCACAGTGCTGGGTGCTGAGAAGTCCAAGATCAAGGTCCTGGCACGCCCAGTGCCTGCTGCGGGCCTGCTCTGTGGTTCATAGATGGGTGGCCTGCTCTGGCTGTACCCTCATGTGGCAGAAAGGGTCATGGATCTCTCTGGAGGTCGCTTCTGCCCTTCTGAAAGCTCCGCTCTCAGGACCTCCCAAAGGACACATCCCCAATACCAGGACCTTGAGGGGTAAGATTTCAACTTATTTTTTGGGGGGAGGGGGGGTTAGAGGGACTCAAACATTCAGTTTATAGAAGAAAACAGAAGATGAGCAAAACCAAAAGTGGATTCTTTGAAAAGACCAAGAGGAAGGAGCGAGGGGGCCCAGTCCCAGAGGCGATGGAAACTGCAGGACTGGGGAGGCCCAGCAGAAGGTGTACCAAGAGGAAAGGGGCCAGATTTTCAATAGGGATTTTGAGCTGGGACACTGAGCACTCCCAAGGAAACTCACCCTCCTTCTCCCCCTGAGATACTTGGTAAAGTCTCCTTTCCTATTAGTCCACTTGTGGGGTTGGATCTACTTAGAAGAAGCCTTGAGACACTAAACCCTGCTGTGAGGATGGGTGTAGAATGAAATCAGGTGGCTCAAAGGTACCTGGTCCCCACTGATTCACACCGCTAAGGACTAACACTGAGCCAGACGCGTTCTGAGGGCTT